AAAGATCCCCATCAGTAACATATGGGTAAAAATAGAAGGCGTTCTTCCGAGTGACGTAGGTGTTTACCAAACAAAACACTAATGCTATTGTACTGTGTATCTATCCCCACCTACATGTGACCTTCTTTCCAATCTACGTCACGACTGCTAGACACAATGTTGAAATAGATCCAATGTACACTAGTCATTACAGCTAGAGTAAAACTTTTGATAAAAATGACTAGTATGTATTATATACCCACCTTGAATAATCAATACGTTTTGTTACACCAGAAATATATACACATGCCAAAACTCATATGGGCCGTAGATCGTCCGATTTAATTTTTCAGTAATGAGTTAAGCTTTTGTAAGTCACTTTGTTATCAGTGTATACTTCAAATGGAATAATTATCAGCTCATTCAATATATATATCCCATTACCATTATTGTAATAACCACCCAAGCTTTTATCAGTTGTGCCAAAATTACTATGGACAGCTCTGACTAGGAAATTATATATAATTGCTTCAACACAAACACTATTAAGACTTCTGTCTCATTAATGTTAGAAGTCTGATTATCAAGTTTTTGGTCAAACATAGTCTTAAATTATTATTTTTTGTTATTATTATTATTTTTACAGTAGCTTAGAACAAGGACTTAGAATAGAAAAAAAATCCCATGGAAAAAACAGCAGGTGCCTATCCATCTATTTTAAGTCTGTGTATAGAATCATTTGATATTGTTGATGTTGAAAACATTAAAATTCTCAGGACTAAGACCAGGTACTGAGAATTCTGTCTAATAGATTTTTATAGAAACAGCAAACGGAAGTGCAATTATATGTCCGATACACGTGTTGATCATTTTATGTGAGCAAATTTGTAGTCTTATCAATGGATATTTTGTAGAAAAATACTTTTCTTTTATCGGTCATTTTTTAAATAAGTCTTATAATATGAACACATTTCAAGTCATTTATGTATTTGATTGGTGATAGTTCATCGACATAGCGTAGCTAGCGAAAAATGATTGCTAATAGATCCGAAACTAATACGCCAAGGATACTAACAGTAGTGCGATACCAGTAATGTGTGAAACCGTTGTTTAGGTCCATGATAATACTTTTTCAGTGAAATAATCCCAAAATATTCGTGCTCCCTCCTTATTTTCGCACCTTTCATTACCCATAACCATGTTACGGCGACAGCTGACAAATTTAAGCTACTGTTGGTCTCTTATGAAAACAAATAGTGTCCAGTGTCATAGCTGACATCACGACGTTACTACCGTAGGGGATAAGGGACGTCTCTGGGGATAACTGACATCTTAAGCGAGACTGGGCTGGCAATTAATTAATTTGGTGTAGATACATACTAACTTGGAGCTTTTCACATGTTCACATCTACACTCTAGTCTGTGATTGAAGAGGAAATGTTACCTGTGAAATTAACCCAGTCTTCGTCAAGCAGCTGTAAGTTACCTCTGTTAATTGAAGAGCTCGAATGCTTTCCCGCGTAATTTATAATACTGAGAATTCTTCTAAATTATCATTACTATGTAAATTAAAATGTTGATACACTTGAGTTGTTATTTGTTATTTTTCGAGGGATTGTCGTTTAACAAGTTCTTATTTTCTATTGCCGTGACTGAAAGCATTCTATAACCTAAGACACTTCAGCTGGTCAATTTCTGAATAGAATCCTAACTGTATTGTACGTTTTTGTTTATTGGGCATAAAGTTGAGATAGTGTAAATAAATTAATGATGTGAAGCAGCACCGTCTCCAATCGTTGCCAGAAAACAGAGGTCTGTGGTCTCGAGTTTCATGTATTAGTATTTGTGTCCTATACGATTTTACACCTAGTTCACCTCAGACAAAGATAGTGTATAGTGTGAAGCCAGACCTGGTCAGATACAACGCAGTTTAATGTAAACGATCATTACACCTTACCCCCTACGGTTTGTAAATATATATCTACCTGGATTCTCGCCAAGTTTTTAACTCAAATACACCTGGAAGTTAGGCTGTTCGTGATATACCGAGACCACAGGGACCCGAGGGTTTTTTGAATTGATGAGAGTTACTACTTACACACCAGGGGCTTCTTAAATATAAGTAGACTGATAATAACTAGGTGCTAAGTTCCTGCTGTACATAACACAAGTTCAAACCACACTTTCAAATATATCTGTGGGCCAGTTTAAAACAATCCTGTAATATAGTCCCTGTGATCAGAACACTAGTTCACCAACCCATCTTTCAACACTAAATTTCATTAATTTCTACATAGTACTACTAACCTGAAGTGACCTTTTTTTTAAAACAAACTTAATAGGTACACAATGTAAAAAAAGAAGGTAATGTGGTCTTTGGATTTCACTTGGATCAAGTGATATGGAGGTATATCTTGATAGGAAAGGCTAGATATATGGATGTTTTTTCTTAAAGGCAATTTTATGTATAGCACTAGTGTCTCTGATAATATTAGGCGTTTTAACTCCACTTAAGTCCTTTTTTGAATTTTGACCAGAAGTCATCATAACTCATATTAGCAAATAAGCAGTGATGAGGGTCAATATGTTCCAACAATACTGCACTACATTTACGTCAGATAAAGAAAATCCATCTAAATTAAATCATTGCTCAGATACAAAATTTGTCAATGCCTTAGAATAACTGGAAACCAACTTACCTGCTAAGGTGCACCACAGAACAGGCAAATAGTTGTGTGAACGCATTAGGTAGAGATATTCAGGGATGATGTCAGGATGATCTCTGAGGAAGACATCAGTCAAATGGAGACAGCCAGCAAGACAAGGTAATTTTCAAGTAAGCAGCCAAGATGGCATCCTCAAGCAATAATGATGGCTAGGATGCTGACCTCAAGGGATGACCACAGCTAGGATGCTGACCTCAAGGGATGACAACAGCTCAGATGCTGACCTCTAAGGGATGACAACAGCTAGGATGCTGACCTCTACGGATGACATCAGCTAGGATGCTGACCTCAAGGGATGACAACAGCTAGGATGCTGACCTCTAAGGGATGACAACAGCTCAGATGCTGACCTCAAGTGATGACATCAGCTAGGATGGCAACCTCAAAGAGTGACTGCGACTTGGATGATAACCCCAAAGGTTGACAATGGCATGTATGGTGATCTCAATGGATGACAACAGCAAGCATGGGGACCTATATGGTTGACAACAGCTATGATGATGATGACCTGCAGGTTTAACAACAGCAAGGATGGTGATCTCCAGGGTTGACAACAGCTATGATGGCAATCTCTTAAGTTTGACAATGCCTAGGATGGAGACCTCAAGTGTTGAAAAACGCAAGGATGATGACAACTGCTTGCATGTTGACATCTTGGAATGACAACAAAACAATGTCTCAAAGACAGCATTTTGGTAAGGATGATGACCTATTTCAATCAAATGACATTTGCTCTGATTGCGATTTCCAGAGATGACAATCACAAGGATAATGTACCTGTTAGGTTGGTGTAGTGACCTCTGACTGGCTGGGATTTTAATTCATCAATACAAAGTGTTACCAAAACTAGGTGTTCAAAATTTGAGATTTCATCCCGAAAGGATCTTTATGAGAAATGTACAAGTACTATCTTGGGGATGACCAGACATGTTGTGCTTGATACTTTTCCATTATGGTTTATAGTTTTATGTTCCTTCAGATGATTGCTGAGAGCTGATAATCAACATTCTGTGAAATAATTTCATTGCAATTTTAGTGTGGTATTTCATATCACTAAAATATAATCAAAAGTGTTGTTTTAGAAAATGAGAATAACATTAAAATCAACTTTATGAAGACAAAGAGATTTGTAAGAGCAATTGTTAATTTTATCCGATCCTGTAATGTAAAAAAAAATGTAATTGTACATATCACAGAAAACATTTAGATATGAAAAAAATTCAGTACAATTCATATGTATAGGTTAACTTGAGATTTGTAAATTTTCCATTGTAACATCTGGTTTGTATTCAATGTTAATTTTTAGCATAGCTGAATATTTCGTAGTGGTTTTAAGGGATTGATTACAATTAAATGTTCATTGCTGTTATTGATTTCAACTTTTATAATCTCATACTGTTATAGTTGGTGTTGTATAAGTGAGGCATTATATTCATTATCAATGACCTAGTTTATGAGTACGGTATGTAGTATTCCAACCAACAATGAGTAATCAAAATGGCCGCCACTCTAGAAATAATGTCGGCCATATTGTCTGTCCGCTTGATGGGACATGTTCTAAAGAATTCCAAAAAATACACCAGAATTTGTTCGTGATCATGTGCAGACCTGACGAGAACACACTTGAAAGTTATTTACATCTATACATTATAAATTGATTTTAAGTAGAGCAATATGTTTGTGAGAAATTCTTCTTCGTTGGTCATACTAAAAGGGTAAATTTTTGTGAGCATTAAATAAATTTCATATTTACCATATCAGAAATTTAAGATTTGTGAAACAATATCACCATCATTCCATTTCATCTCATTCTGTACAACCAACTCTTGTAATCCTTGTTGATAAAATACAACTGTGCTTGTAAATAGCTGTGCAAAGTATTAACACAATGAAAATGTGTTGGCTATTACTTCCAATGGTAATAATATCCTTCTGGTCAACATATATGTTGTACTACTTGCACAAGAATATTCAAGTATTCTTCCAATGTACAGAATCTGTTGTTAAAAAAGGATGAAACTTGAATTTCATGTATAAACCAATTACCATAATGTATTTAAAATACAGGTCTCGAAAGATCACAGCCTCTCAATATCAAGACCATTGAAACATTTTATGATTTAGTTTAACTGCTCCAGGTAAGGAATCCACAATTTTTTCGAAGGATCATTGAAATTTACATGCATGTCTTCAAGCATCAGTATTCAGCTTCCAATGAATAAATGATCGATTCTCTTTGTCTTCTTCACTCAATCAATAATCCATCTTCGTAAAATTAATAACTATAAATCAGCATTTAAACATTTAAAATTGGAATTTTTTATTCTGGCTTTTAATTTTTCTTAGAAATTATGCACCTATAAAGAGGCAAAAATATCAAAAACATTTGTAAATGCCCCTTTGGTCATAACTGTACATTGCAAATTATACATACACGAATATTCTACATACAACAATATTAAAACATGGAGATCATTATGGGACGCGAGATGAGTGAAAGACATACCCTGAATCTACAGGGGCGCACTTAGAACCGTTCACATAAATATAACCCCTGTCTTCCATCTTATGGTTGCAGGATTTGAATTCAAACATGCATCTCACAATTATACTTGAAATAAAGGACAATATTTCATTCAAATTTTTGCCTTAATTTCCTACCATTCACATAAAATAATATAACCGCTCCTTGGTACTCCTGACACTTCCTCCTAACTTCTTTTTTTCATCACAATAACATTAAAATCACAAGTATCAACTAGCACTACAATATTCTACAACCACATTTTCTCCATAGAAATTTAATACTGGAATAATTTCTTTTAAAAATAAAATATTGTTCCCAAATATCGCAGTCCGTGATCAAATGAGGTCATGGCCGTTGAAATGTTACAGATGAGGCGACGGAGGATGATCTGAAATGACCAAGAAAGACATCGGCTTCTCAACTGTAACATAAAGACTCTAACTGTACACAAAGGCTGCCAGTTGTTTGAGCTGGTTGATGTTGTTTTCTTTGGACACACTCATCAGCTGCTCCTTGCACGATTGAAAGTTTTTGTTGATAGAATCGATTTCACTTTGTTGTTGATGAGTGGACTGGCTAGATTCTTGAGTTTGCTGCTGGAGTTCATTATCACTTTCTGCGTCATATAAAATCCCAATGCTGCCATTTTCACCAATTCTGTAAGACACGTCCTTAGGATCAACCCACATTGTGAGTTCCTTTGGCAGTGTAGAACACATTTGTATTTCGTTCAAGCCACTAAATACACCCGCTTGCAAGATCAGAGGGTCCATATTGTGGTTTATTCTGATACATCTGAATCCACTGCCTTTACATGGTTTTTCTGGGAACCAATGGCTTTCAAACTTATTGGTGAGTAACATCTGAAGGGTACTGTTAAACGAGGCAATTTGTTGGTCACTTACCAAGTTTGCCGATTTCAGAATATTAGACAAAAAGTCTACAGCACTTTTTACTTCACGTTTCATTGTTTCTTTGCATAGGCCGAGTAAATTTGGAGTCCAAAAATGTTCTCAACTGCGATGAGTATTAGCCTTCACTCGCCCAAATTCCAAATACTAGTTTCAATAAATGTGAAAGAAACTAAATGTTCTTGTTTACTCACAATTAGACTTCGTTTTCGACTATCTTCCAGAAAAAATTCTCAGCCTTCTTTGTTCGCTTTCCCTCCGATGTTATGGCGTCCGCCTTCAGTGTTTATCGAGTTCTAGCTTGCTGACGTCAACAATCGTGACATCACTTGTCAGCGTTCAGCCAATCAGCGCCAAGTTCTCAAGCAATAATTAACCATATATGGCCGATCTAAATATAGAAGTAATACGTAAACATTGTAAATGTGTCATACAAGCTGATAGTCCAAACAAATAGGCCATCCAGACCCTTTACGCTCGAGTAATTAAATTTGAGGAAATATTCTACACCTATCCGACACGATGGTTATTACACTACAACGAAACGTAGGATGAGTAGAAATCTTATGAAATCACGCGAAATATTAACAAAGTGGAGTGTTGTTTTTTAGGTAGCACCCGTAACAGGCCTACTTGGGAATTTCACAATATCATTACTCATAACTTACCTGCTAGCGAGAAATACTCAAATCTGTTTATTTTGACATCATGTAAGTGAAATTAATTATGAAATGTATACTTTATTCTTAAGTCCATGTAATGTATTCATAGTCTTTGGTTTAAACAATATTTATTCATATATATATATTTACCACTACATACAACACACGTTTTTATCAATTCTTGATTATAAGCTTAAAATCATAATAAAAGCTGACGGTCATTATAATTTGTAATACGCCATACTGAATAGGGTAACTATAACGCTTATGTATAAATTAAGTGGGATGTTGACAAATTAAGTCGGCACAGATACTAAAATATAAAGAGAATTGTAGTACATATGTACTTTATTTGTGTAATATAAAAAACAACAAAGAAAATACCAACATGTAAACAAAACTCAAATTGAACAAATACAAAGACAAAATATAAACAAACAAAAAATTATACGAAGACTACTGTAAATGTGGAATAAGACCAGTTGTTCCGGCAGAGTAAGCGTCTTAAGTTTATAAAAACGGAACTAATAGGAGAGTTAACGAGCATCAAACACATCCAGCTTCATATTGCAGATAGAAATGGAATGTTTTCACTGGGATCACTGAAACCCGTCACAAATTCTTATGCCAACCAACCAACCAACCCCCCCCCCCCCCCCCCTTTTTTTTTTTATCTCTTGGGTTTCATCACCAACCAGTAAATATCACAATAAGTAAGAATATATTTAAACATATGTGTGGGTGTGTAACTTTTCGATCACTACATTGTCAACATTTCACAAAGATTTATATTCTGAAGGAATTGATTCGTCTTTGGCCAGTTTGAGAACAGGCTTAAATGCAATTTGTCCGAGACAGGTAAAATATTTTGTATTTTGATTATTTGTTTCTGAACACACGGATATTTAAGGAAATATGTTAAGGGGTCCATTTTTTAGTACTTGTTACTAACGACACTAACGATACTAAGAAATCTTATGCTTAGCCGCATAATACTGACACATTATATGATACATGTCTCTGCTTTATAATAAGCATTGCCGTTCCACTTGCATATCGATTTGGTGACTTTTTTTTACGTGGTGTTTGATAAAACCCCTAAAACGCCCGAATACATACGTTGATCGGTTCTCGAGTTCATGTGTGATAATACCGTATGAGCTATGCTTATCTAAACAAAACTCCGGATACTTTACTTATCTGTATCAGAACATCAAAGGACACACGGGAAAACACACACAGTCCCGGAGACGTATATATGGTTTAACACTTCTTTAATTGTCCGAATCATTCTCTAGCTTCGGAAATTTTCAAAAGAGTGTAACTGGGATTATAGGAAAGCATCATGAGCCTTTGGCGGGATTTGTCACCTAGCTTAGTCGTCTAAACATCGGCCATCTGTCCGTCATAGTATTCCGCGATAAGATAGCGGCCATTTACCGCTTTATCTAAGTACCGCTCTTTGTACCTGAGGTTGGAACACATCAAAAGGCCCGGCCCCTAATTTACAAAAGCCTTAGGGTAACTGTATTGTTGGGTTGAAAACATCTCTACATCCTGAATTTGGAATTGATAACATCTTCACAATAGGAAACAGCTGATGGCTACAATGGCATGAAATCATCACATGCGTAACTTTAATGACTTAAACACTTTTATGCATTGGTTAAAGTGCAGCCCATTAAACAGAACACAATAGACGTTAAAGATACTTTGTTCCACCTCAGGTAAACACCGACATTGGTGAAAAACGTTTTTTATATTTTCTCTTTACAAATAACAATTATCCTGCCTAGCAAACAAAGAGCCGACAAAGCTGACACGACGCATTCAATTATTTATGAAATTCTAGAGTATGGCACGCGCCGTGGGAATCTTCACGCAATTGGCTATAATTTTGGCGCGTGTGCCACAACAGGGAGAGTCTGATTGTGTACGGCGGTCAGAGTTATCCCCCTTCTTGAGGAAAAATTAAATAAAATCTCTCACTTCAGATCTTGACATTTCTTTCGATCACTTTGAGATTTCCATCCTGCAGTTTTAAAATTCAGACCCTTAGCATCGCTGACGAGTCCTAGAACTACGAACCAGCTGTATGATGCAGTTTAATTCATTGTTTGGCTCTGTTGTATTTTATTTATAAAAAAAAAAATGTTTTGAGCGGTCCTATTCTCTTGTGTGTCTTTTGTACAATCACTGAAAGGAAAATAAAAAAAGGAGGAGAAAGAAAGAAACGAGAATAACTTTAAATACATTAGTTAAAGACAACATCAGAAATGTTGAATCAACATGTTTAACGATGAAAACTAAATAGATTAAAGCTTTCAATATCGATAATGGTTCTGCGTGGAATTATACCACACATCGAGATAATACCAGTATCATAGAAGTTACTTCAAATCCAACTAGGCAAAAGGCTCCGTGAAAACAAGGGTGTAATTTCCACATGTCAGGAACATACGGATTCGGATTTCTAATTTCTTCCAAGAATATTGAGCTGTCGGTGAAATTTCTCAATATTTTGAACGTAAGGATTCCTCGTCTCATTTAATAATGCTGCTTGGTGTTAGAACAAAGAGATTGAACTTAATTTGTTCAACGTTCTGTTCTTCTCTAAAGCGACGTTCAGTAAAACATCGGAAAAAAATCAAGGATTCGTTCACCCAACGCCTTATCCTCCCCATAATCCTTTAAAAATGTAGGCGAATGAAACCGTTTTATATTTAGAAAGCAATAAATATACTCGCTTTCTCTATATATAAATCACACCAGACGTGTTTTAATTCTATATGAAAGAAAATTATCAGATGTTATTATCCTATGTATAATATAATTTGAATTTACGTCCTCGATTTCATGGGTAATTAAAATAGGACATTGACACGTGAGAAATAGAGCTGGAGGAACGTCTGTTATATATTTCCTAATTAAAGTGTCACATCGGTAGAATGATGGACGCTTTAAGGAAGTACTATTACACGCATGCGCTCGTTGTTTTTAAGCGATTATGGCATCAATGACAATTAAGATCAAAACTATACTATGTTGTATAACAACCATTTTCTCAGTGCCCGACTGTAAATTAAAGAGTTAAGCGTAAACATTTGTGTTTGTAGTTTGTTTCTATAAGATAATACATATCACAGACAGTATGTTTATTAAATGGTATACTGTATGCACAAAAATAAAAAACAAAAAAATTAAAAAAAAAAAAAAAAAAAAACAACAAACAAACAAACTGAAACAACTTTTTGAAACAAACAAAACAAAAAAAACAATAAACAAAAAACAAACAAAAACGAAAAAACAACAATACAATATTCCAAAGGATTAAATGTAAAATTCAATCATTCAATCTGACAGACTTTTGTTAGAATTCAGACAAAATAAAAAAAACTTCCAATTTTTTTTACAAATATGATAGTTTATGCCACATTTTATTTTCGTACGAGATGGAATTACTTTCAGCAGGATATGGAAATTAACACATGTTAGTTGTCAGATTCGGCATTATCACCATCAAAACGTAAAAAAAAAAAAAAAAAACATGAAACATCTACAAATCTATGCGCAAGACCTGATTGATATTTCAAATTTGTGATTTGATTTAATATGCATAGTTTTTTTTATACACGTACTTTCCATTTGCGAAAAAGGACAGAAAAAAACCTCTTTATGAGTTTGCTTGTTCGATCTGATGTGATAATCATAATAAATTAAGGATGGATCAAAGATGGGTTTTTACTGTGTTGTAGTTTGAGCTGACTTGGTACTGAGTCAAATTAAATCTACATATTAACTGACGGAGTTCTGTCTGCTAGTTATTGTTCTAAACCATTCTTTGATGTTTTAGGGAAATACAATTTGTCTCCAAATTTCAATTTGAACTTGCTTACAAGAGTTGGTTTCACAACACTTCCGTTGGGCAATTTAATATTAAATCGTTTAATTTGAACCAACCAAACCCTGTTTTGTGTATCACCAGATAGACATATCTCGTTACAGTATTGTATTTCTTGTCTGGTTTTTGATCAATGATTATAGTTAATTATTTAAGACATACTAATGAAATCGCAGACCATCTGCGTCACTGAGTACGGAAGGGTCAAATTTCTCGATCGTCCAGCTGACCAATTACATAATACTTATATTGAATTCTATCAACATCCGTCGGCAACAGTTGTCATACCACTTCTCCATTCACCAGAACACGTCACTGAATATTGACAAGAACATGATGGACCGAACGGAAACCTGACAGTCACACACCACTGAAAACAACATCATATCAGACCTGTTTTAATTCTATATGAAAGAAAATTATCAGATATTATTATCTTATATCTAACACGTAGTTCATTAAGGATGTGTAATAGAATTTGAATTTACGTCCTCGATTTCATGGGTAATTAAAATAGGACATTGACACGTGAGAAATAGAGCTGGAGGACCGTCTGTTACATATTTCCTACTTAAAATGTCACATCGGTAGAATGATGGACGCTTTAAGGAAGTACCATTACACGCACGCGCGTGGAGAGCACGACACTCAAGTGTACTAAACACAACCGTACAAAATACGACGCGCACGTGTATCACACACT